TTTTGCTGAAAAGCTACAACGCCGCTTTCGCATCAACAAACATTCTATGTCCAAATCCTTGACTAACTTTTTCGAAATTCTACCCATGTGAACGCGCTTCAGGCATTGCAAGTACCAGCCGCCTCTTTTGACTTCCCTGAGCTGTTAAGTACATCACGCCAGAATCTTGTTACAATGGAAGACGAGCTGCGGAATGTGACGCAGTTTTGGAATGTTGCAGAGTCGATGCTGCACCAGATTGAAGAGTACCGAGGGCTTTTGTGGCAGGAAGTCGATGGAGTCCAGATAGAGATTGCCGTAAAAGCCATGCAGAAAAGCTTGCAAAAGGATATAAAGGTCAGGCCTGGATATCTGTGGAGAACCATCGAAACGTAGCCATACAGGTTCCATAAAAAAACGCGCCAGGAAGTTGCAGCCACACGATACTCCCAGAACATACCAGCGACCCTGGATATCTAGAGGCTGGTCCTCTGTGCAGATGGATAAGAAGACCGACGCATACCAAGGACTACTNGACCCTGGATATCTAGAGGCTGGTCCTCTGTGCAGATGGATAAGAAGACCGACGCATACCAAGGACTACTGGCAATGCTGCGAACGTGGGTGCAAATTGCACCATTAATTACTGAACTCCGTGGGCCGTACATGCGTGACCGTCACTGGAATGAGCTACTTGGTCTTGCGCAAAAATCCCTTGAAATATCTGATGAAACCAAACTTAGTCAAATCGAAGATCTTAATCTCCTAGCGCTGCAGGGAGCTGTTGAAGAGATTACTGACAAGGTGGGGCGCTACACCTACGTGAGGCCGCATTTAACCTCTGCAACAACATAAGTTGGAGCTCACACTTATTAGTATAATTGTAAAATCAGGGTAGAGTCAAGTACGAGTAGTATAAGTGCTACCGATATCACAGACTCATCGTCTCCGCTGCAATATATCCCTGGGCGTTCCAGGCGAAGCAAGAAGAGGCAATCGAGAAAAATCTGGTTCTCCTGACGAATACGTGGGAAGCGGCCTTGTTTGTGCTTACGCCTGCGAGGGAACCTGACGTCAATTTGTTGTCCCTCTCGGAGGAAAGCAGCGAGCTACTAGAAGAACAGCAGATGCTGGTTCAAAACATGATGGTTTCCAAGTATGTATTAATTCCATGCTCGATCGATATAATCCATGCAGAATGTTCTGGGCTCAATAAGGCGGTATATTGATCGCACGTTGGTGGCTTATAAGGAAACTGCAATTGAAACAGCCAATCCATCTTCTTGGTACAACCTGCAGATTCGGAACACCCTGTGGATTTGTTGACTTCAGGTTTTTCGCGACGTTTGAAACTGAAGTAACGCATTGGCAAAAGCTTCTCGCCACAATAGGGGATATTACTCAGATGATGCGAGAAGTCCAGCGATCTTGGACCTTTCTGGAAAATCTCTTCCTCTGCTCCGAAGAAGTGAAACGTGAACTTCCCCAAGAAGCCGAACGGTTTGTGACGATCGACGAGAACATGAAAGAGGTCTTAAGAAAAGGACAATCTAACTCAAAAATCAAGGATTTTTGCGTCCTGCCTGATATTGGAATTCAGATTGATGAGCTCCAGAAGCAGCTGTCTTTGTGTGAAAAGGCTCTCAATGAATTTATGGATTCAAAGCGTAAAACCTTTCCTCGATTCTTTTTTGTCTCATCGGTTGACCTTCTGGACATCCTTTCGCACGGTAATGACCCTCCAGCGGTCATGGTCCACATGCCGAAAATTTTCCAAGCTATTCAACAATTTGATTGGAGGGCTGCCCTACCGACTGACAAGGATCAAACTAGACCTGTGGCCACAGGGATCACCTCCTGTGTCGGCACCGAGCAACTGGCGCTACCAGAAGAAATGGCATTTGTCGGAAAAGTCAGTTATAC